CGGCTACAGATCCCATATAAACGGCTACAGATCCCATATAAACGGCTACAGATCCCATATAAACGGCTACAGATCCCATATAAACGGCTACAGATCCCAGATAAACGGCTACAGATCCCAGATAAACGGCTACAGATCCCAGATAAACGGCTACAGATCCCAGATAAACGGCTACAGATCCCATCTACCAGAATAAAGCCGCGTTTGTTCCACTTCACTCAGGACAAAACGGAACTGGAAACTGTTTCTTTCCCAGAGCTGTGAAGCTGGAAAGCAGCAGTTTGAAGGACCTTCAGGAAGTCTGGAGAACATCCAGATCACATGAAGATGTTGCATCCTCTGCTGTATCAGTTGCCCTGGATAAACAGCTCAGCGGCCTGAAGGAAACCGCCTTCACTGATGGTTTGGATCGCATTCCAGAGAAATCTTCTTTTGTTCTGCTGCAGCTTGTTTTATCAGCTCCAACTCTGAGCTTTGGTCACATGAAGCTGCACAGAGTTTTTTTTCTGTTCTTTTGTTTTTATCTGAAGCTGAATAATCAGCCGGTCGCTGCGTATCGGAGCAGAAAAGAAAACACATCTAGATTCTGGACCAGTTCAGCTCACCTGCATGATCTCCACGATGGCCACCAGGTCGGCCAGAGACAGGTGGTCTCCGCCGATGAACGGCTGGTCCTGGAGGAACTTCTCTTCGATCAGGTTCAGAGCGTTGTTCAGGTCCTCCAGGGCTCCATCCATCTTCTCCTTTGGGACTTCCACACCCATTACCTCAGGAAGCATAAGCTGCAAACAAACATTACCGTCTGAGTCCAATTTTAACACTGATATTTGATATCTATTTTTTTCTGATCCAATCCAATATCTGGGCTGAACATATCGGCCAAAATCCGATATGCTCAATTCAACAGTTGTAGCAATGCGCTACGACTGTTGAATTACATCATTTATCTTGCCATGAGAGTGAAGGTTTGCTCTTAACATAAACAGTAAATTATATCAACAGGTTTAATTGGGTGGAACATTATAGAAGCAGGAGCTGAAATCTGTTCAGTTTCCCCTCTTTTAACTAAAATGGCGTTCCCTCCCCTGAACTTCCCCCCATCTGTTCTCTCCGTCTAAAATCTGAACATGATTGTGATTCCGAGTGATTTTGTTCCTCTATAGATGCAGCTGGACTTGCTGTGAAACTAATAGAAATATTGAAATATAATCAGAATCCACTGCTGGACAGATTCTGTTCGGTTTGGTATGAATTGGTTGGAATAACTATAAAATATAAAGTTAAAATTAAAGGAATCTGGTTCCAATATGGCCGACCCAGTAGTAAAGATGTACAGGTTCTGATGGTGAACGTACCCGCAGCCAGAACATCTTGATCCCGTACATCCGGATGCCCGTGTGCTGCCAGGACAGGTACTCGTTGATCTGAGCGCGGCGCTGGAGGTCGGCCGGGTACCAGAAGTCTGGAGTCTGGAACTTCTCAGCCAGATAGAGCATGATGGGGATGCTGGGGGGGGGGACGGGTCGTTAGGGCCTCAGGGTCCACGGCTCGTTAAACATTAAACATGTCAGGTCATAGTCACCTTTCACCCAGGCAGAAGTCTCCGTCTCGCATTGCAGGAACTTTTTT